ACCCTCAAGTCGGGCGTGTCTTCGTACAGGGGGATTTTCAACCAAAATAGAAAATACTCCCAAAATGCTCCAAACTGGTTAAAAAATACTCAAAAAATAGTCCCCATACTATTTCTGGACTTATTTTGAATATTCCTCCTGTAGAGGGACGGGCACGACTTAACCCTACCCACGACGGCGTGGAAATTGTGTCTTCCTATGTCCGGTAACGGTCGTTCACCCGCGGGGGGGTTGTGGCCTGGGGTCTGAGTTACGCTCGGGCGGGGTGGGGCACGTCGGGGCGGGGGTGCCCTGCGATGGACATGGTGTGCGCGCGAGCACCAGCAAGCATGTGGGAGGGGGTCCAGCGCCCCCCCCCCTAACGCAGAGATCCGACGTCGTGATTTCTTCAAGACGCGGTCCCCCGAAGCCTCGACCCATTCCCCAGGACCGGGACTTCATCCTGGGCCGTTTCCTGACGGCTCCGGGGCCGGGCGAGGGCCCTCAGAGGCCCAAAATTGGGAAGCACCACCGTCTTGACTTTTGCCAATGCGTTGGATCTCGGGGTACGATCGCTGGAGAGGAATACTCAGGGGGGTGCGGGGGCGTTTAGCCCCGGTAACGACCGTCACACGCCAGAGGGTCTTTCTGCTTTGGACGCCCGAAATGGGTACCGAACAAGTGGGAACAATGCCCAACAGCAAATGTTGTCCCAAACCAACAGCGGCCGCTGTTGGGCAGGCGGCCCTCTGTCTCAAATGGGCACAGGCCGCGGCGGCGTGGACAGCAAATCCTGCTCAAAATGAACAGGAACTGCAGTTGGGCATAGCACCCATTCTTTCAGTACCCATTTCGGGCGTCCAGAGTGGATCTCATGGCGGGGGCCATGATGTTTCCGCAGACTTCGTGGCGCCTCCTCTTACTTCATTACGTCCCTGGTCCCCCGCTGGGCCGCGCACATGCCGCCAGTCATTATTTGCACCCCCCCCTCTTGGACGCCCCGCTCTTGACCGCTCCGTACCCGTTTCGGGCGTCCAGATCTGCGTCGAGCGGTCCCCTCCGAACCTTCCGGCGCTTGTTCCCCGCGCTGCGCGCGCGCCCACCGGAACGGTGCGAACGGGGCCCGGTGGTCTCGGCCAGCGCGGCGGGGTCGGGCCAGGTCGCCAATGGCCTCTTCCTGAGTTGCAACAGGGCCGGACCCCCAGACGAGTGAAACCGAAGCAAACCCTGGCGCGAATTACTCCAGATTTCGTAATAAAAGGGAGGGGGTCTGGACCCTCCAAGACAAGCCATTTCAGACCCCCCCCCCGTGGGAGAACCCTCCCAAAACATCGTCCCCAGACCCCCCCAGGCCCTCCAAGATAGCCTGGAAGAGACCCCCCCCGAAATGAGACCCCCCTCCCTTTATTACGAAATCTGGAATAAAGAATCCCCAAAACCGCGTGGTTCAAGTCCCTGGAGCTGTTTCGACAGAGCCTGCAGCCTGCTGAAAAAAAAGGTCCAGGGGCAGCAGCAGCAAAGGAGGAACAGGGGTTCGTCTTCACTGCTAGCGTTTCTCTTGAGTAATGATCCGTTTTCTTCATATATGCCACAGTGTGCTGTGACGTAATATGATGCGGTTCCCTCTGTAGCACCATGTTATGCCATGATTCGCTATGTCAGGTCTTGGTCAACTCTGCTCTGTTCAGCGATGTTGTCGACGACCTGATCAGTTCATTCACTTACAGCACGCCCTGTTATGTTATACCATGCTATGTCCTGCGGTGTACGGAGACTCCTACTGTTGTAGCTATGTATAAAATTAGTCAGATGTCCTGTTCTGTTCTCGACGGTCGGGCGTGACGCCGGGACGGCTGTCACGTTAGATGGGTCGTCCAATCGGTCGTTGCTGCGCCTGTTGGTTCCCCTGGCCAGTCTGACCTGGGCGCGCACGTGGCCTTTTGATTCGATGCTGGTACGGGATATGATTGTTCGATGCGCTCTTCCCTTATGTGTTTCTCGTCTGTTAAAATATGCTCTGTTTTGCTCGCACATGCCACATACTGCTGCGACAAAGTATTGAATGCCCTGCTCTGATGCACCATGTCATGACATGGAATATTCTGGCAGGTTGTGTTGTACAATGCTATGTTCAGTTATGATATCGACGGTGTGTTCAGTTTCGTATGGTATATTCTAATGGGCTCTTTGGTGTTATGCTATGTTATGCTAGTTGAGATGTTCCTGTTCAATACTGTCGCTGCTGCAGTAAACGATATTCAACGATGTTCCATTTACAAATGTTGTGTTGTGTTCTGCTCCAGTGTGTCCGTTATATCCTGCATGGATACGCAACGCCTGTAACGTTATCTGCGTTGTCAAATCGGTCGTTCCTGTGGCCAGCTTGACCTTGGCGCGCACGTCGCTCTGGAGTATCTAGCAGGACGGTATAGTCTATTGTATGTCGATCTTCACGTATGTGCTTGGCACGTTGGATTATGATATGGTTTGACAGTACACTTTGATTTTCTATAGTGTGGCTTGTTATGTGGCACCACGTTGAAACAGATTGAATGCCAGGTCTTGCTATGTTATGATATGTGGAATGATGCTGTCCTCGCGATGGCCAGGTTCAGTAAAATGGATTGTGGTTCGCCCTGTTCTAGCATACCTTTTAAACTAAGTGCTTCTCGGTGTATCGAACTCGCTGGGGTAGTGGCAGCGGAAGTGCAACACAATTGTTATGATATGGTAGCTGCGTTGTGCTCGGGTCAGTGTATGATGTTCGATTCTCTGATGTCGTAAACTCATCTGCGATTGGTCAATGCCTGTGATGCGATCATACGTCTGCTGCGTCGTGGTATCAATAATAACCCACGGCCGGCATATCATGGAAGGATATGTGATGTTGTGCTCATCTATGTTCCGCCATGTAATGATATGCATTGGTATGGTACGTTATGCTCGATGCTGCGTTATGACACGCTCTGCGTCACCATGGCAATTCAGCGTAATTGGAAAGTATGATCTGTCACAGCATGTCCTCTGACATGGTATCTGTTGTCACGGACCTGTATAATATGTGCGATGGTGCTGTGTTCGTAGCTGCTCTGTCACGCCATGGCATGGTGATGATATTATGTTCTGCCATGTGAAGGTATGAACTGGTATGGTTCGTTATGTAATGGTATTGTGCTAAACTCTGGTATACATCCTCCGCTTTGAATGTGCAGACGCTGCTATGTTGGAAGTATCTTATGATACGGTATGCTATGGCATGGTATGGTATGGCCTGCTATGGAGTGGAATGGTGTTGTGCTGTGTTGTGATTTGCTACGGTATAGTATGTGATGGCGCGCTCTGAAACCGTTTTGATTGTCATACTATGGAATGGTGTGTTTTGTGAAGATGTGTTATGTGTATTAGTGGAAACAATGAAATGGTATGCTAACGTATGGCATTATATGAAGTGTGTGTCATTGTGTGGTGTGGTACTAGATGTTGTATGCTCCGATATGTAACTGAACACGTTGCTGTGTTGCGATGTGGTATTGTATGGTCTGTCATGTTATGGTATAATGTGCTACGCTTGTGATACAGCGCCCTCTCACTCCATGGTATGCCATGGTGTGCAATGATATGGTATGCGATGATGTGCTACGGTATGAAGTGTTATGTGCTCGTATGTCATGCTATGCTGACTCATAGCATGGTATGACGTGCCATGTTCTGCTATGGTGGCCTGGAGACCTGGCGGTCGCGGTACGCAGGGTGGGCGGACCGGGAGGTCTCTTCTGAAGGGAAACTGGGACACACAAATAAATACACACAAATAAAAAGATTCCCCATATTTTCCCATATTTTCTGGGTTTTTGTCTTCCCCCCAACTTCCCATATTTTCCCATATGTTCTGGGGAACCGAGGATTAATTGTGTCTGTGTGTTTCTTTTCCTCCTGATTTTCATAGAATCTAACGACCCCAACCTGCCAGATGGGGAAAAGCAGCCTCGTGCGGGACCGAGGCCTCGCGATGACCAAAAAAAATGCACTGTCTTGACTCGTTCCAGACGGGCTCCCCGGACGTCTCGACCCACTCCCAGGGACCGGCTTTTCCTCCCGGGTCGCATTTTGACGGTTTCGAGGCGGGCCAAGGCAGGTCGAAGACGAGGAAGACCGCCGCCGCGCTGGGTAATTAAATACCCTCCCCCTCCCCTTCCCCAGGCATCGCTCGGACGCCCACTTCCCGTGCAGTGCTCGGTGTCGCGCGTGATTTTTTGTTGTTGCTCGATGGTCCAGGATGGTCCTCGATGGTTCTCGCCGAGAACAAAAAAACGCACGTCCGAGCGATGCCGGGGTTCCTCCTCAGGGAGGGGCGCCTCCTCCAACCTTCCTCCTCAGAGAGGAGCGCCTCCTCCAACATGAAGGGGCCCTGGGACACACAAATAAATAGACACTAATAATTAACAGGATTCCCAATATGTTCCGATACTTTCGTGGTTTTTGTCTTCCCCCCCCACTGCCCATATTTTCCCATATCTCCTGGGGAATCGACGATTCATTGCCTCTGTGTTTTTTCGGCTGCACGCAGGAGTGACCCCGGGCAAGAGCGACCTCTGGTGCGCGGCTCCTTGGGGACCGCGGGGGGGCCAAGCACACAAGCGCGCAAGACGCCGCTGCCGCCTCGCGTTCGGCGATCGGGGGCCCCAATGGGCCCGCACCAAAGGTCACTCTGGCGACGGGTCACTCCTACGTACAGCCGATTTTGAAGGGAAACTGGGACACACAAATAAATACACACAAATAAAAAGATCCCCATATTTTCCTATATTTTCTGGGTTTCTGTCTTCCCCCCCACTTCCCATAGTTTCCCATATTTTCGGGGGAATCGCCGATGAATTGTTTCTGAGTGTTTCTTCTCCTCCTGACAATGGGCCCGCACCACAGGCGACGGGTCACTCCATGGCCACCAGCCCCAGGCCGCGGCCGAGGCCGAGGCCGAGGCGCCGGCAGCGCGGCGCTTCTGGACCCACCCCCGCGGGCGCCAGGTTCGCCAGGTTCCGCGGAGAGGCGCCCGGCAGCGCGCGGGGCACCCGCGGCGCCATCGCCCGGAAGAGGGCAGCGGGGGCGTGGCGGCTCCTCTCGGGCACGGAAACGATGGGCACAATTGAAGGGGCCCTGGGACACACAAATAAATACACACAAATAAACATATGCCCCATAGTTTCCCATATTTTCCGGGTTTCTGTCTTCCCCCCCACCTCCCATAGTTTCCCATATTTTCCTGGGGATCGACGATTCATTGTGTCTGTGTGCTTCTTTCCCTCCTGATCCTCTCGGGCACGGAAACGATGGGCACAATGCCCAACAGCAAGTGTTGTCCCGAACCAAAAGCGGCCGCTGTTGGGCGGGCGGCCTTCTGTCTCCAGTGGACACGGGCCGCGGCGGCGCGGACAGCGAGTCCTGTTCAAACTGAACAGGAACTGCTGTTGAGCATTGTACCCCCATTCTTTCCGCGCCCATATCGCTCGTGCAGAATAGCAGAGGGGGGGGGGGGGGGGAGAATCAGCTCACGCCGCTGATTTTCCCGGCGCCTCCCAGCGCCGGAGGCGGCTATGGATCGAGGATATGGGCCCCTCGGTGGGGCCGAAGCCAGCTGCATGCAGCAGATTTCGAAACCCCGCCGTTCCCAACCCCCCCCTTCGTTCGGCCCGATCCTCGTACAAGACGACGCCAGGACGAGGAGAAATTCGGGAGAGGACGAATCGAGGCTCTCTGAGGCCAGGCGGCTCTCAAGCCCGTCTAGGCCGCCGCGGCCCTCTCCGCGGGAGTTCTGGAAAGCTTTGGAACGGATCTGTCCCCGTCCTGGCCCCGCCCGATCCTACGGAGGCATCGAGGGGAACGAACAATGGCGTAAACATAAAAACTCGGAGCTCCGCGCGGACTTCTCGGATCGGCGCTTGCCCCCCCCCCCTGGCGCGCGGAGCGCGCCAGGGGCGGCGCCGGAGGCGCCGCCAGAGGTGTCCAGCGCGGATCCGAGAAATCCGCGCGGACCTCCGAGTTGTTATGTTTATGTCATTGTTCGATCCCATTATATCTCTCCTCGCCACCTCTTCTTCCTCGCCCTCCTCTTCCCTTGCCGCGTCAAAGGAGCAGATGTTCTGCATGCGCTGTGGCGGGTGGTCCCACGGAAGAGGGATCAAGCTTGGCCGTCTCTGTGTTGCTGTGTATTTCGTTGTCTGTTGCTACTCCAGATTTCGTAATAAAAGGGAGGGGGTCTGGACCCTCCAAGACAAGCCATTTCAGACCCCCCCCCGTGGGAGAACCCTCCAAAACATCGTCCCCAGACCCCCCCAGGCCCTCCAAGATAGCCTGGAAGAGACCCCCCCCCGAAATGAGACCCCCCTCCCTTTATTACAAAAATTGGAGTGTGTTTTTATGTCATTGTCCGCTCCCCTCGCACTCCACGTCAGCGACGAAAGGCACAAAGCCTCACGCAGGAAGGAGCAGCAGCCCCACGCTGCGGCCTGCGTGGGCCCCGTGTGCTTCCGTCGCGCGGGTGGGGCCCCAGACCTCCGCGGCAGCGAAAAAAGTCCGCTGCGAAGGCTTGTCACCGAGTAGGGCCTCCAGAGGCCCTCGCCGGGCCCTGGGAGCGTCCACGAACTGCTGGGCACGAAGCGGAGGCCCTGGGGGAGGGGTCGGGCCTTCCAGGGGCCACGTACTGAAAAACTACATAAGGGCCTGGGGATCGCGCGGCAGCGCCGATGCATCGGCGACATCAGCGATGCATCGGCGACGTCGCCGTGGAAAAAAACACGGGGCTCCCATCGAGCCGCATCGAAGATGCACCGGCGATGCGAGGCGATCCTCAGGCCCGTTCTACCCGGACCCTGCACGAAGAAGCCGCCTGGGAGGCCTGCACGAATGAGGGGCCACGAGAAAAAGGGTCGCATTCGGGAGACTCTCCATGGGGGGGCAGGGATCCCCTCCTGCCCCCCCCATGGGATCCCCAGGGGATCCTATGGGATCCCCCCCCTGGGATCCTATCCCCCCATGGGATCCCCCCCCATGAAGAGTCTCCCGACCCATGAGCTTCCTCTCCGCTTCCGAACCATACAGGGCTCCTGCACGAACCCCCGAGGGCCGTGAGAGAGCGGCTCTTGGGACCCTGAGAGCCGACGCTGCGAACAACTTGCAGCATCGCGAAACGTCGCGACGGAATCCCCATCCTCATGCGGCACGTTCCGAGCGGGATCGACCTGTGAGAGTCCCAGGGGCCGAAGCCGGGCGAAAACACCTGCTGTGCACATATGACAACGACCCGATCTCAGGGCCCTCCTCCTCCTGCACCCCCTCCTGCTCCTCCTCCTCCTCCTCCTCCTCCTCCTCCTCCTCCTCCTCCTCCTCCTCCTCCTCCTCCTCCTCCTCCTCCTCGTCGTGCCTCGGTGTTGCAACGCCCTGACCTCAGGGGATGAAGAACTGGCCCTTGGGACTGCCCCGCGGTCCACGGGACCCACTCCCATCAGAACCCTCCTCCCCCATGTCCGGAGCCCCCTTGTCATGTGGTGACGGCCCGTGTGGTTACCTCGGCACCTGGCACCCCCAACGACCTCACCGCGCACTCCGTCACCGCACGGGTTTGGGACCTCGGAGGCCCCAGTCGCCCGAAGTGTCCTCGGAGGATGGCCCGAGCCCCAAAACTATGCGGCGGCCTTGATTAGACAGGACACGCGAGAGGACACAAGACCCTTCCGTGGGCCACATCGCCATAGGAGTGTAAGAATGCACGTGTCGCGAGGCACAGGACACAAGGGTACCCTTGAGCTGGCAGGGTCGACCTACTAATCTGGGCCGACTGTACCGTTCTTCGTCCACGAAACGATCGCTGGCTCCGGGGCGCAGATCGGGCCGCTTGGGCTGCTCTCTGACGGCCCCGGGGCCCCGAAGCCGGCCCCTAAGTTTAGGAGGCCCAGGGTTCGCTAGGGACGGGTTTCCTCCCAGAACAGCGAGAACCCTCCCAAAACCCTCCGAAAACCCTCCGAAATCCCTCCCTGCCGACTGTATGCAGCGGCCCCGAACCTCTACCGACTCGCCAAACGGTGTGGCCATCACACCGCTTGGCGGCCCCCAACTCATGGCCGAGAGGCTCCTCGCCGAGGCCCAGGCCAGCGTCGCGAGGTCGTCCGGGCCGAAGGCCCCTATCGTCGCGGCCGCCTCCGCGGCCAGGCAGCGCATGAGCTCCTCCTCGAGCCCGGCAAGAAAGACTCCAGAATGGTCAAAAAATTCTCGAAAATAGTCCCCAGACTATTTTTCCACTATTTTTGAATACTCCTCCTGTAGAGGGACAGGCCCGACTTAAAACTATGCAGTATTGCGATGACGCCCGCGACAGTCCCTGCTCCCCCCCCCCTCCCACCCGCCCGGCCACGTCACGTTTCGCGCCGCCCGCAGCCGCCTGGGCAGTGGCCATCCCAGAGCACTCCCAGACGGCGCCGGCGCGAAGCGCGACGTGACCGCCGCCCCCCCTGGGAACAAGGACAGGCGACACCAACACCAGCAGGGCGAGGAGGTGCGAGGAGGCAAGGGGGGTCTCCCTGGTGGTGTGGTCCCCACCCCCTCGCTCGAGACATCCCCGGCCTCCAGCTCGGGGAGGCATCGCGGACCTCCTCGACGGAGGTGGGCCTCCTGGTGGTGTTGGTTTCGCTTCTCCTCCCTCCGAGCCCCCGTCCCCCCCCCTCGTCCGTCACGCCTTCATCGCAAGGGGAAAGCGAAAGGTGCCGATGCCGCTACTTCGAGGCGAATCCAGGACTGCGAGGCGAATCCAGCAGTGGCGACGAGGGCCTCCCGGGAGGCTCCAAACGGGGAAAACGAGGCACGGGAAGCGGAATGGGTACATGTTCCTCCCCTCAGTTATCGGCAGGGGATAGAAATCCTGCCTCCTCCCCACTTCAACAATCCTGATCATTTACAGCGCGGGCCCCTATGGAGGAGGTCTCGCACAATGTTAGCCCTGGACTGGCTTCTCGACCTGAGCCCGCGTGTCACGATCCCGAGACCCTGCGAGGGCCTCTGGATGCCGAAACCAAGAAAAACCTCCGAGGGGAGTTTTCCTACATGTTGGAGGTCTGGGGGGCTGAGCCTACTCGTAGGTCGGGCATGTCCCCCTACAGGCGGACGTTGGCAGAAAATAAACGAAACATGCTCGAAAATAGACGAAACATAATAGAAACATCGTCCGCAGATTATCTTTTGACTGCTTTTGACCGCCCGACTCAACTCTCGGGTCATAGCTCGCCTCTGCGGCGGCGGCCGTCCGGGGCGCTCTGGACACACACACACACACACACACACACAGAACGCCCTCGGCGAGGCGCAGCCGCTGGACGGCACCCCGAGGCTGGAACATCGACGAAAATCAGGAGAGACAAAAGTACCACTACCACCATCTAGGGGGGGTGGCCGCTCCCTCCCCTCGGGCTGGTGGCACCTCCTTCGGGGAACTCCCTGGAGGCATGCCCAGAGCGAGGTGCCACCAGCTCGAGAGGGTGGGGGCAGCCCCCCGCCTGGCTGGTGGTAGTGGTACCTTTTGTCCCTGGCGAGAGAAGCTACGAAAGCGCGCGCAACCCCCGAACCTCGCACTCGACTTTCGACGCCTGCCTGGGTCGATCCGACGCTTGACAAACCAACAACACACACCCATACCCATATAGGGCGGTCGGAGAGGGCTATGGCCGCGTGTTGCCGCATGGGGGTCCCCGCTCGAACGGGAGCGTTCCCCAGGGTCCGACAACCCGCACCCATACCCATAGCCAGCCCTCCTCCCGACGACCCCCCCTAGGAGTATGGATGCGTGTTGTTCGTTCGTCAACGTCGGAGGCCTGGGTCCTCTGAAGGGGCCCTGGGACACACCAATGAATACAAACAAATATAAAGATTCCACACATTTTCTCCCATATCTCCTGGGCCTGTGTCTTCCCCACCACTTCCCACATTTCCCCATATTTTCTGGGGAGTCGACGATGAATTGTGTCTGTGTGCAAGACAGGGCTAGGATCGGGATAAATCACTCCAGAGCGTTCTGGAGAGCGCTCTCAGAGCGTTCCGGAACGCTCTGGAGCGGCCGCGGCGCCCAATACATCCTCCAAACCCGCCGATTCTCAGAGATTTCGAGTTATCCCGATCCGATTTTGTCCCGATCTTCGCGTCGTTTTAGTGTGTGTCTTCCCCCCCTGCTCCTCCTCCTCCGAGCCGCGCGCCAGGCGCGCCAGGGACCACGCGGCGCCGGCCAGCGCCCGCGGGCCGAGGCGGCGCCCGGAGTCCCGGCGGTGGTGCGACGGCTTACCGGCCTGGAACATGTCCCTATCCCTAAGTCGGGCGTGTCCCTCTACATGGGGGATTTTTGAAAATTATCCTGGCGAAAGACCCAACCATAAGCAATTGTTGGTAACGCGTCGTGGGTGCCGTTTTCGGTGGGGCTCCATATGGGGCCACGAAGCGCTGCCTTGGATGGGGGAACCGCATGCGGACTGCGCCACCGGGGCGGGCCTTCGGTGGAGCTCCCTATGGGGCTACGAAACGCTGCCCTGGGTGGGGGAACCGCATGCGAACTGCGCCACTGGGGCCTTCGGTGGAGCTGCAACCTATGGGCTCCCCATGGGGCCACGAAACGCTGCCCTGGGTGGGGGAACCGCATGCGAACACCCCCACTGGGGCCTTCGGTGGAGCTCCCTATGGGGCCACGAAACGCTGCCCTGGGTGGGGGAACCGCATGCGAACACCCCCACTGGGGCCTTCGGTGGAGCTCCCTATGGGGCCACGAAACGCTGCCCTGGGTGGGGGAACCGCATGCGAACACCCCCACTGGGGCCTTCGGTGGAGCTCCCTATGGGGCCACGAAACGCTGCCCTGGGTGGGGGAACCGCATGCGAACACCCCCACTGGGGCCTTCGGTGGAGCTCCCTATGGGGCCACGAAACGCTGCCCTGGGTGGGGGAACCGCATGCGAACACCCCCACTGGGGCCTTCGGTGGAGCTCCCTATGGGGCTACGAAACGCTGCCCTGGGTGGGGGAACCGCATGCGAACACCCCCACTGGGGCCTTCGGTGGAGCTCCCTATGGGGCCACGAAACGCTGCCCTGGGTGGGGGAACCGCATGCGAACACCCCCACTGGGGCCTTCGGTGGAGCTCCCTATGGGGCCACGAAACGCTGCCCTGGGTGGGGGAACCGCATGCGAACACCCCCACTGGGGCCTTCGGTGGAGCTCCCTATGGGGCTACGAAACGCTGCCCTGGGTGGGGGAACCGCATGCGAACACCCCCACTGGGGCCTTCGGTGGAGCTCCCTATGGGGCTACGAAACGCTGCCCTGGGTGGGGGAACCGCATGCGAACACCCCCACTGGGGCCTTCGGTGGAGCTCCCTATGGGGCCACGAAACGCTGCCCTGGGTGGGGGAACCGCATGCGAACTGGGGCCTTCGGTGGAGCTCCCTATGGGGCTACGAAATGGCGGAACCGCATGCCCCACTGGGGCCTTCGGTGGAGCTCCCTATGGGGCTACGAAACGCTGCCCTGGGTGGGGGAACCGCATGCGAACACCCCCACTGGGGCCTTCGGTGGAGCTCCCTATGGGGCCACGAAACGCTGCCCTGGGTGGGGGAACCGCATGCGAACACCCCCACTGGGGCCTTCGGTGGAGCTCCCTATGGGGCCACGAAACGCTGCCCTGGGTGGGGGAACCGCATGCGAACACCCCCACTGGGGCCTTCGGTGGAGCTCCCTATGGGGCCACGAAACGCTGCCCTGGGTGGGGGAACCGCATGCGAACACCCCCACTGGGGCCTTCGGTGGAGCTCCCTATGGGGCTACGAAACGCTGCCCTGGGTGGGGGAACCGCATGCGAACACCCCCACTGGGGCCTTCGGTGGAGCTCCCTATGGGGCCACGAAACGCTGCCCTGGGTGGGGGAACCGCATGCGAACACCCCCACTGGGGCCTTCGGTGGAGCTCCCTATGGGGCTACGAAACGCTGCCCTGGGTGGGGGAACCGCATGCGAACACCCCCACTGGGGCCTTCGGTGGAGCTCCCTATGGGGCCACGAAACGCTGCCCTGGGTGGGGGAACCGCATGCGAACACCCCCACTGGGGCCTTCGGTGGAGCTCCCCGCATGGGGGCGCAACACCCCCACTGGGGCCTTCGGTGGAGCTCCCTATGGGGCCACGAAACGCTGCCCTGGGTGGGGAACCGCATGCGAACACCCCCACTGGGGCCTTCGGTGGAGCTCCCTATGGGGCTACGAAACGCTGCCCTGGGTGGGGGAACCGCATGCGAACACCCCCACTGGGGCCTTCGGTGGAGCTCCCTATGGGGCCACGAAACGCTGCCCTGGGTGGGGGAACCGCATGCGAACACCCCCACTGGGGCCTTCGGTGGAGCTCCCTATGGGGCACGAAACGTGTGAGGGGTGTGCCGAAATGGGTGGTGGGGAGGCATGCGAACCCTAAGAGGGAGGAGGGCGAGGAGGAGGAGGAACGCGGGGCACCGTCTCTTCAAAACGAGGACCCAACACCACAGGATGGTTGGGAAAAATAGGAAATACCCTAGAAATAGTCAAACAATACTCCAAAAATAGTCTGGGGACTGTTTGTTGAGTACTTTTTGACCTTTTTGGAATATTTTGGGAGTATTTTTACTTTTCGTCGAAAATCCCCCTGTAGGGGGACAGACCCGACTTAGCCCTATCGCTATGCTGGGCACCTCCTTACCACGATGCCAATCTTAGGGATTCCCGTATTTTTTGAGGGCGACTCCCGAAGATTGTCCTCGCCTTTTGGCGTGTCAATCTTAGGGATGGGGATATGTTCGAGGCTGGTAGACGGCAGCGCCCGGCAGAGGCGGCGCAGAAGGTGCGGGTGCGCGTCGGCCAGGGCGGCGTGCGCCCAGAGGACCTTGTGCAGCTCAACGGCCCTGACTGGGTACCGCCCCCCTTTGGTGGACCCCTCTTCCTCCTCCTCCTCCTCCTCCTCCTCCTCCTCCTCCTCCTCCTCCTCCTCCTCCCTCCTCCTCCTCCTCCTCCTCCTCCTCCTCCTCCTCCTCCTCCTCCTCCTCCTCCTCCTCCTCCTCCTCCTCCTCCTCCTCCTCCTCCTCCTCCTCCTCCTCCTCCTCCTCCTCCTCCTCCTCCTCTCCTCCTCCTCCTCCTCCTCCTCCTCCTCCTCCTCCCCCCTCCTCCTCCTC